AATGTTTTTGTAATGAAAATTAATTTTGTAGATTAAAGATATTTAGTATAAGAGAATAAGACTATAATTAACTATTTAAAGTAAAGGAAACTATATTTTGAAGTATTAAGAATCTGGAAATTCATTTGAGAAGAAAAAATTGGGACTCAATGATGTAAAAGCTATGAAACATTTATAAAATAAATGAATGCTTTGAATTTCAAATTTAAGGAAAGAAATGTGATGTTCAAAATCATTAAAGGCTATCCAGATATAGTAATCTTCACTTGAAAAAGGAAAAATAAAAGATTGACAACAATCCCTGAAAAGAAAAGAAAAGAAAAATATATAAGATTGAAAGCAATCCAAATGAAAAAGAGAAAAGAAAGAAAAAAAAATATGATTTCTTCTCACTTTGTTCTTGGAGAGGATTGTGAGGAGATTGATTTTGATATACAAAGTGATTTTTATTTTCATCCAAGATAAGTATTGTCATTTTATTTTAATTTTTCTTTAGTACTTTGTTTGTATGGTTTCAATGTCTTGTTCCATGAAAAGTTCTTGTTATTTGTCCATGTGTAGTGATTAGTTTTCTTTACTCTTCACTTGTATAATGAATTGTAAGCATGTGTACGATATAGAATTGAGTAGAGTGAGAATTTTGACCAAAGAAAAATATATTGAGATTTTCATACCTATTTTATGCTGTTTTTGATGATATTGCACTTTAAAGAAATATATTTTTTTATGTTTTGTTGCAAGAATGATGAATTAGGGTCATTGTAGCAAAAAAATGCAAAAATGGACGAATTTGGAGTAAAAAGGACCAAAATGTGAAGATTTGAACTAGGGCGCCGATGGCGAGCCCAACGGCGCCAACGGCTAGAATTTCCTGAGACTCCAGATTTAATAATTTAAAAGGCCCGCCGACGGCACCCTCGAGGCCGCCGAAGGCGAGATTTGCGGTTATGCCCAAAAGTGCATTGAATGTGGACGATTTTTTGAGGGATGCTTAGGCAGCTCTTGGGAAAACTCATCCACAATTTTAAAAAGAAGTTTTTGGCCAGAAATTAGAAGCTCTGGCTAGGGGAAGAGGCTCAGGAAGGGGGGTGTTAATTGTTGGGAAAGTGTAGAGAGTCTAATTGTGAGGAATTCTTCGAGAGATTGTAAGAGTGGAGGGAAAGTGAGAGATTTCTTCCTCATTGCCACTTCGAAGAGGAATTCTATGTGTTGTAAAGAAATGAAGAGATTCAGAGGAATTTCGATGTGTTTGCTTGGGGAGAAATTAGAGATAAGTGTTATTTACTTGTTGTAGTTGTATGACTTTGCTTTTATATATGAATTCCT